CCTGTACCCCCAGACTCCCTGTACCCCTGTCCTGAAGTTTATGACCTCACTCCCCTCCCTCTCCTGTACTTACTGGATTGTCCCAGATGGGAAATTTGCTTTGCAGGCAAGTAAGACAATTTAACACATAACCCCATTAACAAATAAGAGACATTCATGTACAATGAGAAAAAACACAAATATATGAGGTAAAATGTACATCCAATTGTCCCCATTGAGCCGGATCATAGCCGTGGGAATAAAAGATGACTGAGTTCTACTGAATCTGGGCGGTCTAAACTGAAGTCATCTCTAACTTTATTTCTCATTTTACCCCCGTGACTGTTTCTGGTACTTTCACTTAACATTCATTTCGTGTAGAGCGTCACTCCGGAGAAGAACATTATAATTACAGTAACCACCCTCTGTTGTGAGACATTTGCAAACTGAATACTTATGAACTACGTTCACTCACGCAATTCTGGTCTATTAACTGTGTATTCATAAATATCGCCCCATGGTTTGAATTGCAATAGCTACACTGCCTCTCCTATAGCTACAATGATGCTGTGCAACACTGCATCAACACCGCCTGGCAGGACGGGAGAACGGCCGCAAGCTGCACCAAGCGTTACCCTGAAAATCATCCCCGACACTAGCTTATGAACCGCTAATATGAACTGCAGAAAGACGGACATCTCACCCGGTATCGTCTCCAGTCCGCACACAGCCTGGCAGCGCGACTTCCGGCCAGGACGCGGAGCCCTGCTGCCATGGCAACGGCGGGGCCGTGACGTCACGCCATGACCCCCCCCCCGCCGCCACCCGAAACAGGTTGTTAAAGAAAATTGTTCCTGCAAAGTAACCGAGTTCCACAGACTTCTCTTCTAAGGCATTTATATGTTATTTCGTCTGCTGTCGCCTATTGTTATATGTTTTCTCTTAATGTTTATAAATAAAGCTTTCAGTAATGGAACCTAGTGGGTATTAATAGGTCATATGGTATGAAATCAGTTATTTTCTTTAATCGCTTTGAAAATATTTTCACATGCTGTTTGGTAAAAGGCTGTTATTAGGTACGTTTTACTTCGAAAAGTGGCATTTATTATGCTAAAAGTTTCATACTGTTATGTTAAAGTAACAAATGTCATTTTTTAACTGTGTTATATATTTGTACTACTGTGTCAGCAGTTATAATGCCCTATTCTGAACAAACTCTCAAGAAAATTCTGCAATCAATAGAAGAAATCCGGGTCCAACTTTGCTGTTTGACCCGGAAGTTGTCTTGCCTGGGGCGGAAGTGAAAGGAGGACGGCGTGGTGCTGAGGAGGAGGCGGGTTGTTTGTGCCGAGTGTGTTTAGTCGTTTTTCGGCTGCTTAAAATACTGCTGCGAGGTTTCCTCTGAATTCCTCACGCTTGCGGGTGAGAGATGTCTGACAACGAGGACAAGTAAGCGAATCCCCGTGTTTCTGAAAGGTTTCATTCGGGGGTGTTTTACCGTCCGTGTAGCTCGCAGTTTCCGCGAATCCCGAGATCAGTGCGTATGTGAGTGAGATGGACGACAGATTTTGAACCACATCAGCTGGATTATTAAATATTTATTCTGATAGCTGGTTCTCCCCTGGCCGCCTTCTCCGTGGCGTTAAGAGGCTGCAGGTTTTCTCTCTCGGGCTTCATCGATCTTACCTGCGGTCCGACGAGACGATGCCGGACGGGTCCTGAGCCCCGAACTCGCCCTGTTGATTCTGACGTTCCCAGCTGGATGACCCACAAACCCCTTCTCCTCAGCCCTTGAGGACAGCCCCCCCGGCGGCTTGCGCCCGTCTGCAGCGGGGCGACCTGACCCTCCTCTTCCTCCCTGTCTTTCAGCTTCGACGACGGAGATTTCGACGATGTCGAGGAGGATGAAGGGCTGGACGATTTGGAGAACCCGGAGGATGTGAGTGTTTCTCACCTGGGCCTTGTCTTGGGACCCTGTTTCTCTGGCAGCGGGGCGCTGTGACGTGAACCCCACCTCTCTCTCTGTGACCTGACCCCCTCTCTCTCTATAATGTGAACCCCGCTCTCTCTCTGTGGTGTGAACCCCTCTGTCTCTCTCTCTCTGTGGTGTGAACCCCTCTGTCTCTCCGTGTCCGCAGGAGGATCAGGAGAACGTGCAGATCCTGCCAGCGGGGGAGGGCCAGCAGGCCAACCAGAAGCGCATCACCACCCCCTACATGACCAAGTACGAGAGGGCCAGGGTGCTGGGCACCCGGGCGCTGCAGATCGCGTGAGTGGCCACCCGTCTCCTGTCTGCAGCTCCCCTGGTCCAGACCCGTCTCCCCGTCCCGGGTCGGTCTGCACGTCTCCCCGTTGGGCTGGACAGAGCGTTGCTTGACTCTGAGTGTGACCAGTTCGGCTGACTCAGTCTTGGCCAGCTGGACATACACGAGGATGGCCGGCGCTGCGCTGGGGTTATAAAGGCTCCCTGGAAAATGAGAGGGTTCTAGAGCATGGCGGCGCTGGGGGTCCACAGAGGGACCCGTACGCCACATGACCTTAGTTCTACGCCTCCCTGAGCCGTGCCCTGACTCCCTGCGTCCCTGGAGAACTTTGTTCCTGCAGGAAAGGACTCCCGTGCGGAGTTCTTGATCTGTTGCTCCTGCCTTGAGCTGATCTGGAGAGAGAGACCGACAGCGGGGTGGTTCTCGAAACCGGCCCCCCCTCCCGGTCTCGCTCCTGTGGGTGTCGCTGCGGCTCCAGGGTGGAGAGCGCGCGGCAGTCTCCTTTCACAAAGAGGGGCGGGAGGGTGGAGCAGGAATCCAGTCCGTCGCACTGTCCCGTGTTCTCCAGGCAGTGTCGTTCTCACTCCTTCCCTCCCTCCCCTCTCTCTCGGCAGGATGTGTGCCCCCGTGATGGTGGAGCTGGAAGGAGAGACGGACCCTCTCCAGATCGCCATGAAGGAGCTGAAGTGAGTGCTGGGGGGAGGGGGAGGAGGAGCAACAGGTGTTTCTACTCTGCGCCCACCAGGGTGGGTGGAAGGAACGCAGCACTCGAGAGCAGGTCGTTTTCCCCACCCAGCAGGTTAGGCTGCTGATAACGAATAGTTGGTAGGGATCTCACCCAGCTGTTTCTTGAACAGCCCTGGAGGGGGGGGTGTCTTCAACGGGGCCTGGAAACGAGTTCCAGACACCCACCACTCTTGGCGTAGAAAGGAAGTCTGGAACCGCGCTTCCTTGCTGTGTGCAGCGTAGGCTCAGTAAGCCCGTCTGTGTGCTCCCTGGGGGATGGTGGAGGCCTGTGTGCCCACGGCGTGATGTAAAAGCACCGGAGTCCGGACTCTCGGCTTCCCGGCTCCGTGACCTGTCTCTCCGTGTGTGAAATTCCCAGGGGGTTTCTGTGGCTGGCGGGTATTCCAGAGTCACGCGTCTCCATGGCAGCGGACGGCGGCAGGGGCCCCTCCCGCCTCCTGTCTCCGCGCCCGAGTGCCAGGCGTTCCCGGCGCGGTGCAGGGGAATTCCGCAGCTATGTGGGGATTTTTCAGGATTCGCGGTCTGCCTGCAGTCGCCGTCTGGCCTGGCCGCCGGAGCCCGGCACCCGCTCTCCGGGTGATGGGGCCGGGAATGTCGGGGCGCCTCCGGGATGGCCGGAGATCGGGAGCCTTGCTCCCTTGCGCCTCGTCCCCTCCTCTGTCCTGAGTGAGAGGAGGGCAGGGGAGAAACCGGCAAGCTATTTTTGGGGTTCCCTTCGCAGTGGCTGGGGTTCGGGGTTGGGGCCCCAGTAAAATCCCCCCACTGTGTGAAGAGCGAGAAAACATAAACGGGGCGCAGGATGGGTCGCTGGCTCCGAGGGGGGTGAAGGGGGGAGGCTTGGGGGTCGCGTGGCCTCGGGTTCGAAGGAGAGGGGGTGTGTGCCCGCGCCTCACGGCTCTCGGTCCGTCTCCGTGCCCCCACAGGAGCCGGAAGATCCCCATCATCATCCGGCGCTACCTCCCGGACGGCAGCTATGAGGACTGGGGCTGCGACGAGCTCATCATCACGGACTGAGGGGCGCCGGCCCCCGAGCGGAGCCGGGCCGGGCCCCGCGTTCCTGACCCCTCCTCCCGCCTCCTCCAGTTCCCCTCCCGCTCCTCCTCCTGGCTCGCGGAGTTCCCCCCGAAGAGGAACGGCAGCTGGCGGCGGGAAAGGCCGGGAATTTGATCCCAGTTCCTGGAAGCCACAGACCCTCCTCTTCGGCACGGACAGCCGGGCTGACTGGCTGACCGGTCAGTACCGTCACCTCGTCCGGCGGGATCGGAGGACAGGACAACGTCTTCCTGACGGGCCGAGCAGGGAGCGCGGGAATGATGTGAGAGTCCGAGCTTGGATCACATCACATCACGTGAGGTTTTAGCTCCAATCCCGCAGTGTGGGCACCCCACCCCCCACCCCCCACCCCTCCCGCCCCGTTTTAATTCCAGTTTTCCTTCTGCTGTGCACTTGGATGGCGGCTGTGGCCACAGAGCTCCACCAGGGGGCGTTAATATTTCAGAGAAAACCAGGTCTGGCGCTCGGCTCTCCTGTGCATTTCAGTGATTTACAGTTTGTAAAAATGTGTATATTTTTTGTTATCGGAATAAAAATGGCAAAATTCCTAAGGTGCGATTCCCTGATTTCATGTTACGACTGGTACAGTTTCTGGAGTTTCTTTCACAGGGGGTTTTGGACTTGTTGCCGATGTGAGAGACTCCTAAATTGGCAATTAAGCGCTCCAGAACTGGATTGCTGATTCTGATCGTGTCCATCAGGGATTTGCCCAGTCTGGGTCTGTGACCTCTGGTTTCCCATGATGCTCCAGTCCTCTCCCCACACACCAGCTCCCAGTGGGGAGGAGAGCAGAGGGATGGAGCCAGTTCAGAGAGGGGGGTTATTGGGAGGCCATGACTGGTAAAGGCCAGGGGGGAAATTTTGCCAGGACACTGGGGTAACACCCCTACTCTTTTCCAGAAACACCCCGGGATTTTTAATGATCACAGAGTGTCAGAACCTCTGTCTTCCCCTTCTCGGGTGGAATGAGCAACACTCCACCCCCCCCCCCAACCCCGTCCACTTCCTGCTGGCGGAGTAGCGTGCCGAGAGCCCGACTCCGCGCTGGCACGGCGCCCTGCAGGCTGGCAGCACAGGCTTGGCTGCCTCTCGCTCGGAAAGGTGAAAATCGCTCTCGTCTCGAAACGGTAACCCAATCCCCTTGTTGTATACGTGCGCACGGACTGCTGTGTGTGTGTATGTATTTGTTTTACCTGAAGCAAGAGCGTTGAGTCACTCCAGCTTTCCTCTGGAACTTGGTGTTCCAGACGCCCTCCCTTCCTCATAGACGGGCAGAATTAGCCCAGACTGCCTCTCCCTCTCCACCAGTCTCATGCATCCAGAAACCCCCCCATCTGACTCCTGGTCACTTCGAACTGCTGACTGTATCCCACTCTTTCTCAGTCTCTCTGCCCCTCCCAGCCTCTCTGCCTCAATCACCGGGCCTCACTGCCCCTCCCAGCCTCTCTGCCTCAATCAC